GGAAATGCAGTTCAACTTATAAACATGTAAGCAAAATACATACTAGAAAAGTGAGTTACAGCATGTGAAGGTGAAATACAAAAAAATATTATGACAGTAACTACAACCTAGCAATAGTGCAAAAACATCGGCAACAGTCTTATAAGCACAGATAATTACGAAGATGCGATAGAGGAGATTTTGGTGTATAGGTATTTTTTAAGAGTATTATAGAACTTTGTGTGGTCTTGTTCTGACGCAAGATCATCTGGCAAATCATTCCCCAAACGAATAGCTGGTGGAAGAGCCGACTGGTTGAAAGCGTTAGTATTGCCGTATATGCGTGATAAGCTAAAGGTGTTATGTAGTCTGCTCGAAGTTCCATGTGCTAGATTAAGGTGAACATATGGCATCATGCTGGTGTGGATGAGTTTGTGAATTAGTAATGTTGGCTAACGTAACGTAGCTTTCTAGGTGAGTTGGTTCTTAGTAATAGAAATAAATAACCAGCGAAGAAGAACAACCACACAGGACAAGCGCTGGTCTTGTATGGTTGTTCTTCTTCGCTGGTTGTTTTTTTTCTACTACGTTCGTGTGCTGAAAAAGAAACTTTCATATATGAATTCACCCCAACTAGCCCGAGCTTACACTCTTGTGAGTTGATACAACGTAACAGTAAATATTAGCGCAGCCGGGTGTTATTTTGTCTTATATCAGGTAAATAATACGCAAGAGCTTGCAAAGAGATTTGGTTACATATTGACTAGACCCAGACAACATGAATTCATGCGTTTCCAGGGAGTCTCTTTGAGACTCGTACTCTCTTTAAGTGACTGGGTGTTTATCAGCCGCCACTGTAAGGGCTCTTGAACCAGTGGCGTCACATCGTAGAAAGACCTGGCTGAAGCTATTATGCATTATGTATAGCAGAACGCTGTGAGAAGCTTGGATGCCGCGAACAGTCTGTGTGGCGCCACATTGTATTTCTGCGTGATCTGGTTTCACGGCAGCGGACGTATAGGCGTGGGCGCCATGAACAGCTTAGATTAGTCTGCGCTTCCCCCTTCATTTGCCTCCGCTGCATTCGTTTCCTAGCTTACGCAGAAGTCTCGTGAACGGGCCCTCGGAGGCTCCGTTCTAAATACATTGTTATTCCATTTCCGCACTGAGTGTCCCAGAATAAAAATACACAAAGAATGAAAAGCATTTTGCGAGCAATAATGTTGTTTCAATGAGCAATTCACAAACTAACTCGTTCAGTGAACTGGGAGTGCGAGGGAACACACAAAAGAGACAGAGAGGCGGCACACAGCACAAGCGCTTACTAAGAAATGGTTTGTTTTTCACGCTTCAAAGACACATATAAACACGAGGGTGCGCATGTCAACAAAAATATGTCGACAGTAAGAGCAGCAAGCAAAGCGTTCAATCACAAGCTCTTGTCTAAGAATTATCTATATAGTTAAACTCACAGTCATGTAGTGATGATGAAAAATAGCTGATACACTGGTCTTGCAAAGGTGATATGCTTCAGGAATTTCACGCGTAGTTTGAAGCGGATGCCGGAAAACAACACTTTTTTTTTTAAACAACGGTTGGCAGTTGCAGAACTCGCAATTCAAAACTCCGATGTTCTGTGAGGCGTACACTCAAACATCGGCCACAGTTTGGCCGATGTACATGTGACCACAAGACGTGTATATATGTGTCTTTCGAACGAGAAAAACAAACCAGTTGTTGGTGAGCGCTTCTGCAGTGTGCCTCTTTTTTGCCTCTTGTGTGCGTACTCGGTTCGCTGAACGAATATGAACTACCAACTAGCCCAACTCACTGTTCTCTTGCAATGTACAGACGAACGACAGCCATGTACGATGCCAAAACGCTGGTTCGTATTCATGTTCCACGTTTCAGTGGCACAATTCATGTACGACACTTACAAAAAAAGCTTGCAGGATTCAGTGCGTGCAAAGTATGACGCTAGCCCACTCCGTTGCTCAGGTCCGATAGGCCTGCCGGGAATGAACCGAGAGCTCGTTCGCTCTCTGTCGAAAAACAGTGCCAGGCAGCGTTGCCGTTGCTGGTTACTATGCGCCGGCAAATTAGCCACTTTACAACTCTGTACACGTCTGGCGACGACAATTGCAGGATGGCGCCATCCGCGCTTCTTTCTGGCTACTTAGATTTTCTCTTTTCGCAAAATTACTAGACGTAATTTCAACACAAAACAACACAGAAAAACTACAGAATAACTGTTATTTCTAGACTTTTTCGTGATATTGGCACGCACTTGGCCCTGCCCCATAAAAAGGCTTGTGTTCCACGATGCACTCAACGAGCGTTCCTTCAAGATGAAGTGCCACATTGGTGTGAATAAACGACCTCACGCAAATACCACGACATCGCATATGGCACATTGTTGATGCCAGATTCTAATGCTGAAACACCGCGCTTCAAACAACAAAAGGCAGCGGGGCTGTTCACCTTACATCAGATTTATCTACTTGAAGGTGGACTGGTATAATTATAACTTTGTATCAATATAGGCTCAAGGCTTCAAGAAAAAAAGAACACCTCTTGCTGATCTCGTGGCCCCAATTTACTTTTGTAAGTAACTCCATCCTATGTGCTCTCACCTTTTCTGCCAAAATAAACATTTCTCTCTCTTTCATCCTTTGTAGACAAATTGTGTGACAGCGCAGTGAAAGTAGTATGATAGCTTATTAATTTATTTGCAGCTTACCTGCTGCTTGGATACCAAGCGAGACAGAAAAACATATTGCTCGTTATGCTGCGTTTTTCCTTACTCAGTCATATTTAATGCTGAACATTGGAGCTCCGTACATATATCACCTTTTTTGCTACAAATTTGGCCCTAAAATAAATTATATGGCTACTTTGGCTACTTTCAGCTTGAGATCTGTTTTTTTTTCAAATATGCCTAACGGCAACACTGGACAGCTAAATAGGGCAACAAATGAGGCGGTGCGCCTACAGTCACTCGCGAAAAGTGCTCGCATAGTGATTGGCACTATCCAGCACAAAGAAGAAAAAACTCTAAATGAGTGCTGCTAAGAATTTCGAGCGCAGAAAACAGACGTGTTACCAAGAACGAGAGGGCAGGACGGGTACTATATTTAATGAAGTCCTGTTTTGCTATTCTTGTAATTGTGTGTTTTTGCGCTCCAAATTTCTGCCGAATGTGCACCATCTTGATGAATATTAAGTTTTTGTAAAGTGCTGCTTATCACTCATGTGCTTGACGTACAAAATAAAGGATCCCAACTTACAGAGATTCCCGTGGTTATCCTGATCGGCTGTGGCGTGTCCGTCCATCAAGAGAGCACAAGAATAAAGGAGCACGACTTTTAGGCCGGAAACACACAGAAGAATTGTACGAATACAAATAACCTCTTGCTTACACTTAACATCTGAAAAATGGCATATTTTTGAATTCGATGGGGGTCACAATTTCGGCTTGATGGCATGACAACTGATGATAGCGTAGGCTAAAGACACAATTGCTGCAGATGCATGCGCTAGCCTAGATTTAACGCCATGGCTATCATCAGCGGGAGAGAAACGATGCATTTGATATTTGGTGACACATGTGTGAGTAGCGCATCAGTGTCGTTGTAAGATAAAGAAGCCGAGTACGCGTACTCACGAAAAACTGTATTGATTAAGTTACTAGGAAATGCACGTTGGGAAAATTGAGGACAATGCAAATAAAATACATGCTAAAAATCCCTGGAGCTGAGTAGGGACTGAACCAGGGTTTTCGGGTACGAGTGGGGATCGAAACCGGGTCGTTTGTGTGGCAAGCGGATGTCCCACCACACGGCCATGCCTCTGCTTGAGAAAACAGTGTAAAAAACTTCGTCTGCTTGGAACTGCAGTGAAAGCAACTTTCACGCGTCACAAACACACACGACCTGTATACGTGCTTCAATATGCAACACAAAGTATTGCAGTAATAATGCTTGGTAGAAGCGTCCGTTGCCAATGAGCATCAGAATATGCGATTATCATGATAGCTACGTGGTCGAAACTCGGTATCACACTACAAAAGGCACACACGCTACTGCATCTATTCCCTTATAGGTCACGTAGTGCGTGCTTAGGAAATTCGAAAAGGTTTCATGCACTAAGTGTTTGAAGTACGCGTTACGAACAGGATCTCCTAAAGGCGAGGCTTTAGGGTCCCTCAGTTTTTGTCCTTGTGCTCAGCCTGCACAGTCTAGAGCTACCATTTTGGAAAATCACCCCACCGTAAAAATGCACGTAGTGCGGTGATCACACACGGTCTGTTCTTATGGAGCTTACTTCGTTGATGAATTTAGGCGCGAACAATTATTCGAAAAAGTCGAGTAGTGGGTGCATAGAGAAAATGCGAAAGTAGTTGAATACTGGTGCAAGATTTAAATGACGATTACTCGCCACTGGGCCAACCCACTGCAACCATAGGCTTCGGACGCTTTCTATGAAGAAGGCAGAAAAAAATTAACGGAATTATTGGATTCACTTCTATCTTACTGCACCATACCATGACACACAATGGTTAGCGTACATGGGGGTCCAAAGTTCCAAGGCTACGATCTGTTAGGAATACATGGGATAGTAGCCTGGAAACTTTTTACTCCCCTTGTACATTTGTACTCTTCACTCAATCCACTGGATACGTTGACAAACACCGTAAACAGGCTATATATAATCGTAACATCTTTGCTTACTCGTGAGAAGTCAGCTATCGCACCCGGAGCGTCAATAGAGTGCAGCTAAAGTGCAGCCACTTTCTTTCTTATGAAACAGTTGCCTTCACATCCGGCGCTAAAATTATCAATGGAAGAGGGCTTGCGAAAAAAAGGTTACACATCGGTCAGATTGGTATTTTTTAAGAAATGAATCTTGTTAAGTTGCTCGTCATGCCTGACCGTGCGAATGGCTCTTCTTGCTGGCAATTATAAGAACAACTGGTCAAATTCAGGGGCACCTAGAAATTCTTCAGCCATTATTGGACTTACCTTTCCGTCTTCCACAAGGTTGGCAGCCATGATGAACTTACAGATATCTTCTTGCCACACCATGCGCCAGAAGTCCGCCACTGTTTTCTCCACAGGACCTGCGTCGACACCACAAACATGGTGAACAATTGTGATTGAACATTAAAGCACCACAAGCACACATTGAACAAAGGTTTTTATGAATGCGATGTTTAAAAAAAAGCATAAAATCTTCGAGACAGTCTTGTGTGCTGGGCGACTTAGTGCGTTGTAAATGACATGAAATAAAAGATGAGAAAGAAAAAAAGCCCTATACGAACTTTAATTGCACCACTTCTGCTGCAATCCTGTGCTAATAAGACGATTTTTGCAGCCCTCATTAGGCCCTTGTCTTGGTGTAGTCCTAAATTCTCCGCTACTGTGAAAGGGGCAAGTACCTAGGCAGGGTGGATAACCGAGCGATTTTCTCCGAGACGGCACCCTCTCCTTCGTGACCCGGTATCAGCAAGATGTTGCAAAAGCATTTTCTGCTATTTATCGCTAAGTTATTGCGAATAAATCGCGGTTATTTCTCTGGTCTAAGTATAATATACCTCGCTGGTTTATTTTGCGCCGCCTTGCACGATAGTTAACCCAGTTGTAGGCCTTTATTGACCACCACATGACCACGCGACAATATAAGTGGACGATATAAGCCGGGCTCTCAAGCAGCACTCTCTTAAAATAATGGGGTAAGTATAGATTAGTAAGGCTAACCTTTTTCTGGGCGTGTTGCTGCGCGAAAGACTCACCATCAAGAACGGAAAACACATAGGGCACACAGCGGAAAAACGCCACGCCTTCGTGCATAGCCCAGCAAAGTCGCAACGAAAGTTGGAACAGCAGCAATTCTAGAGTCAGTTGTAAACTATCTCGGGGCTACTACAAAAAGACTTGCATAAACATGGTTTGCATCGGGGCTAGTAATTCTATTCTTACATGTTGATTTGTCGCAGCAATATTTACACCCTCTGACGAAGGAAAAAAAAACACGATAGTAGCCATGACTAACAAATGGCTTTTTGTTGGAACCCTTCGTACAATACACAGAGCACTTGAACAAAATATAAAGGACCAAGTAATAAATAATTCATGATGAACGCTATGCGTCTCCCGTTATTGCTCTGGGCTATATCAAGAACGTCAGAATATGTTTTATGAACGACCTAAATCGACAATCAACAAATGATTTATTAATGTTTTTAAGTATTGACTATAGAGAAAAATATCTCTCTACAAGACTTGTAGCGCTTATCCAGTAATAATAAAATTTTCAGTCAGCGCTTATAAAGCTACACTCCTTAATGTTACTCCAGCCTTTGTTTGAAGTGCACGACATTTAAAAAATGTCACTTGACTGCCGGCTAACGTGCCGCGTTGTTAGTGCCCTCAGTTTAGATTCAGGTAATTATCAGACTGCTCATGCAGAAAGATGCATGGATAGATAGATAGATAGATAGATAGATAGATAGATAGATAGATAGATAGATAGATAGATAGATAGATAACACAAACTGGCTACCGCTATCGGTTACTACAAAGAACGTTAAGCGATGGTAGGATGACACTGATAAAAAAAGAACGAAAAATTTAGCCGAAAAAGCGGCCCTCACGTGGGAACACGACACGAGACCGCAGGCAGCACTCGTTGTGATGCCAGCATTTTTTCTTTATATATATATATATATATATATATATATATATATATATATATATATATATATATATTGTGAAAATTTATTGTACGTCATCTTCCTCATCTATCAATAACCATCATCAGTCTTCGCCCCGTTCCTCTTTATCATCGGTGCCATCTTGCTGTTGCTTAAATAAAGCGTCAGCTGCACCGTTGTATTTCAAGTGGTGGAGGTGCTTCCGGATCTCTTCGACCTCTCTCCATCCAAAGCCAGCTCCTGGAGCTCCGTTCGGGACGTCGCTTGCGCCAGCAGAGCACCATGGCTCAAGAGCAAGCCCAACCGAATCACCCGCCGGCGCAACCACCAGCCGCCAACCCTAGCCCGGTCAACAACCCCCCTCGGGAGCCTCCAATCTTCTCCGGTCTGCCTGGCGAAGATGCCGTAGACTGGCTCGACAACTATGACCACGTAGGTGTCTACAACAACTGGAACGAGGCATCGAAATTAGCACGCATCCAGTTTTACGTCTCTCAGGTTGCCAGGACGTGGTTCCTGAATCATGAGAGCGACTTCCGCGATTGGTCTTCCTTCAAAGACCAGCTCCGACGCATTTTCGGTACACCGACCGTCCGTTCAGAGGTTGCTCGCAACAAACTGGCAGAACGCGTTCAACATTGCGGTGAGTCCTACACTTCCTATATTGAGGATGTGCTTGCACTTTGCCGCCGTATCGACGACACCATGCCATAAGGTGATCGTGTCCGGCACCTTCTGAAGAGTTTCGGACCTACCGCTTTCAACGCCCTCGTCGCACACAACCCTTCGACGGTTTCCGACGTCGTCTCGGTATGCCAGCGGCTTGATACCTTGCAGTCAATCCGCCTGCGACCCGACTTCTCTGAGAACACCCTGGCAAACAGTATGGAGCTCCGATCCATCATTCGAGCCATAATTCGTGAGTAATTGCAAGCCTACACTTTACCTCCTTCTAACAACGTTCCCGCTCAACCCGCCTCTAGTGATCTGCGTGGAATTATTAGGGAAGAAATGTCAGCGTTTCAAAGCACCCACCGTGCTCCACCACGCCCCCAACCCACTTCGTATGCACAGATCGCTGCAATGCAACCCTCGCCGTCTCGAGTACCACCACCTATACCTGATCACGAACATCTCGCACCTCTAGTCGCCCGTCCACCGAACCCTACCTACCATTCTTCCTGGCGGGCCTCACGTCCCATTTGCTACTACTGTGGAATTCGAGGACACATTTCCCGGGTCTGTCGACGTCGGCAGCAAGATGAACGTCGTGGTTATGCCGCTTTTGAACGAGATGACACATGTGCTCGAGGTTACTACCGTTATGCCGACAGTCCTTCCAACCACCAATCACCGTCTCCTGTGCGCATTTCCAACACGACCAACAATACACGTGCATCCCGACCACGCTCCCCTTCGCCACTCCGACGCTCTGTTTCACCACTTCGGCCTGTCTCTCAACTGGCTGCCCAGCGATCGGAAAACTAAACAGTGCAGTTTTTGGAGGAAAAACTGCATCGCGGCGAAATGACCCAAGTCCTCCTGAACGACCGTCAAACATGTTATTGGTAACTGTGGAAGGTGTGTGGGTGTTGGCTTTGGTGGACACGGGAGCAACTATTTCAGTTATGCGTGCCGACTTGTGTTCTCGATTGCGGAAAGTGAAGACACCCTACCTTGGATCGTCTTTGATTAGGGCCAATGGAGCAATAATTAGACCATCGGCGCGTGTCTTCATTGATGGTATTCTTCATCACATCACCTTCGCTGTCTTAATCTCATGTGCTCATGAACTAATTTTAGGTTGGGACTTTCTCTCATCAGCATCTGCATTAATTTCTTTCCGTCAACGTGTAGTCGAAATGACCGAGACCGATCACTGCAGCGAACGCGTCGACGAAAAACCATTGCGTTTCTTCACAGCTTCCGAATCCATACTGCTCCTGGGTCAAGAGCAACTCATCACCATCACTTCTCCAAATATTGCCAATGGTGACGTCCTTATCACTCCTTCCAGCAGCTGTCTAGCTCGCGCAGTTGTAGTCCCCTCCAGCCTGGTGCGGTTCAAAGACAGTGCTGCGATAATCCTCGGCCTGAACCCTACCCCAGAGCCCGTCCTCCTACCCCAAGGTTCTGCAGTGTCATGTTATGTGGATACACAACCGGTATCTTTGGTCTCTCTTGACGCCTTGACAGCTCAGCCACAACAGGCCCAGTCTGTCACTTCCTCCTCCTTTGCTCCCGGGATAAATCCCGAAATTCTGCTTCTCAGCGTGAGGCGTTGCTGAATTCGCTCAGGAAACACCAGGCCTCCTTCGACGCCAATGCTTCGGCACTAGGACAGACCACAGTTGCGCATCATCGCATCGACACTGAAGGTCAGACTGTTGTACGCCGTCGTCCCTACCGAGTCTCCTTGGCCGAGCGCAAAATCATCGAGGAGAACGTGACGGATATGCTAAACAGAAACATCATACGACCCTCTACCAGTGCTTGGTCATCACCCGTTGTGTTGGTACAAAAGAAGGATGGATCGGTACGATTTTGTGTTGATTACCGCGCGCTCAACACGATTACCCGAGAGGATGTATATCCGATGCCCCGTATAGATGATGCACTTGACTCATTGCAAGGCGCCTAATACTTCTCCACCCTTGACCTTCGGTCCGGGTATTGGCAAATACCAATGGACGAAGCAGACAAAGAAAAGACCGCCTTTTCTACGCCGGACGGTCTTTACGAGTTTAACGTAATGCCATTCGGTCTATGTAATGCTCCCGCCACATTTGAAAGGATGATCGACACTGTTCTTCGTGGCCTCAAGTGGAAAACTTGTCTATGCTACCTCGATGATATCGTCGTGTTTTCTTCCACTTTTGATGATCATCTGCAACGCCTAGATCAAGTGCTCACATGTCTCTCCAACACTGGACTTCAACTAAACACAAGGAAGTGCCATTTTGGCAACACAGCTATAAAAGTTCTAGGACATCTCGTTACTAAAGATGGCATCCAGCCCAATCCGGACAACATTTCCGCAGTCCTCAACTTTCCGCGACCCTTCCGTTCCAAAGAACTACGCAGTTTCCTTGGACTCGCATCGTACTTTCGCCGCTTCATTCGCAACTTTGCCACTCTTGCCGCTCCTCTCCACAAGCTCCTTGCTAGTACCGGTTCTTTCGATTGGAATGATCAATGCGAAGCCTCATTTCAAGAACTCAAGCAGGCACTGACATCCCCACCGGTGCTTTGTTATTTCGATGACAAGGCACCTACGATATTACACACTGATGCGAGTGGACAAGGAATCGGTGCCGTACTCCTCGAGCGCGACCATGCCTTTCGCGAGAAAGTTGTCGCGTATGCAAGCCGCACTCTGACCTCTGCAGAGAAGAGGTACTCGATAA